ACCAACCCCTCACTACACACACAGTATGGGTTTGTTGCTGGGAAATGGTTGCCTAGCCACAGACTACATTTCTCAGCCCACTACACAGCTAGGTATTAGCAGGACACTGATTCATACCAGAGGAGCAGAAGTTATATGTATGTATCACTTCTAAGACAGGGTCTTTGAGAAACAAGTGTGCCTTCCCCAAGCTTTCTCTTCCATTTAGTTTATTGGCTACATACAGATAAGTTATACACTTACGAGATTTCAAAGGTCCGAGACAGAAAAAACGCAAATCCCTGAATTGTTTCAGAAGATAACTGCCTATCAACTATAAACATCAGCTTTGAAGTGCTAAATGAATGAAAATTGAATTCCATGAAGTTGTTAAGTGTTGTCAAGTTGATTTTGACTCACAGCAATTCTGTACAGGGTTTCCAAGGAGCTGCTCATGGTTTGAACTACTCATGGTTCATAGTCTAGTATTGATCCTACAACGCCACATCAGAAATCCTGCCACCATAATTTGGCAGTTTAGTTATAAGCAGTTAGCATTAACCTAACTAACATTATGCATGCTGTTCTAGCTATTTAAAAAACCACTGCTACCAAGTCCATTTCCACTCATAATAACCCTATAGAACAAGAGTAAAACTGCCTCCACAGGGTTTCCAAGGCTCTAAATCTTTAGGGAAGCAGACTACCACATTTTTCTTCTGTTCAGTGGCTAGTGTGTTCCAACTGTCGACCCACTGGTTAGCAGTCAAATGCTTTAACCACTGCACCATCAGTTCGTTAAACGCCAGTCTAAACGCACACACGTACGTATTCATCTAATCAGCACCAGTATCAAGAATGCATTACGTGCTCACAATATAATCATGAGCAAAAACACATGCAATTCTTACATTCGTGAAGCTCGAAACTACTGCAAGCATCTGAATGTAAATTGGTGTGGTGATTACTGGGAAGGACTAGAGTAGACAAAGAAATAAGTATTTCTTTCCAATAAAGATAAAGTAGCAAGGCTCAAATTTGCCATCTTGTCTGATACAACTTAAAAACTGAAAAGAATATATGAAACAAAAGTTTTTAAGACCCTGGATGTCAGGCAACACAAGAAAATAATCTCCAAGTGATGGGAAACAAAGGGGGTCAGCTTACTGCCCAATTTAGGAACCCTGGAGGGAAAGTGAGGAAATGCTTGACTGCTAACCAAAAGTGAGTATGTGGTTCAAACCCACCAGTCACACAGCAGGCAACTTGCTTCCATAAAGATTGTTGTTGTTGTTAGGTGCCATCAAATCAGTACCCACCCATAGTGACCTTATGCACAGTAGAACAATTCACCGCCCGATCCTGGGCCAACCTCACTACTGTTGCCGCGCTTGAGTCCATCAATGCTGCCACTTTGCCTGTCTTACAGCCTAGGAAACTCTGAAATAGTACAAACCCAGTTCTACTCTCATATAGGGTCAATTTGAGTCAGAATTGGTACACTCACACAAACACACACAAGCAAATTCTCTATTAGGGGCATTTACTCATTTATATTACTTGCCTGATCACACAGTGATTTAAGTGGTTGCTAATTAACATTAAAAAAAAATACAAAAAACAATATAAAAGGCTCCAGACTGTTGCATGTTGCTTTGTATTGCCTAGTAGCATGGAAGTACCAAGGTTTATCAATCTGGGTTGTTTCCAATTTTTGGCTATTACATAAATCTTCATGTCTCTGGGATAAATGCCCAGGAGTACAAATGCTAGTTCCAAGGGAAGAGTTATGATACTACGTTCCAAAACAACATTGCAAAAAATGAGCATTTCAGAACACTAAATTCTGCTCGTGTAGATAAACCCATGCATAGACAAGAACAAGGGGATAATGCATAGTGTAAAATCAGAAAAGGTATGTGTTGGGTTGTATCTTTTCACCATATTTATGTAATCTATATGCTGAGCAAATAACCCAAGAAGTTGGGCTACATGAAAAATTGAAATTAACAGCCTATGACATGATGCAGATGACACAACCTTGCTTGCAGAAAATGAAAAGTACTTGAAGCACTTTCTAATGAAGATCAAAAACTACAGCCTTCAGTATGGATTACACCTCAACATTAAAAAAAAAACAAAAAAAAATTTTCACAACTGGACCAAAGAGCAACAACATGATAAATGGAGAAAAGACTGTCATGGACTTCGTTTTACTTGTATCCACAATCAACACCTATGAAATTATGAAATCAAACATGCAGCAATTATGAAATCAAACATGCAGCATTGAGGAAATCTGCTGCAAAAGACCTTATTAATGTGTTATTAAAGTGAAACGTTATCACTTTGAGGATTAAAGTGCATCTGATCCAAGCCATGGTATTTTTCAATCACCTCCAAAGCATGCTAGACAATGAATGTTAAGCACTGTAGAGTCATTTCCAACTCAGAGACCCTGTATAGGGTTTCTGAGGAGCAGCTGGTTATGTTTGAACCACTAGCCTTGCGGTTCAAACCAACCTTGAGGTTCAGTGCTTATCCTCACTTGCAGATTAATACCCACTTGACCTGGCTTCAATGACTGGATTATCAGAGCTCAATTGGAAGAAGAAAGAAGAGGGGAAAAAAGAGTAATCTGATACAATTTGATGATCTTGACCTACATCTATGGATGCAGTAGCTCAAAAGAGGGAACAAATCTTTACAGTGAGGTTCATTCCCTCCAAACACAGAGTAGACAGGGATGGGCAACTTGGACACTGGCTACCCAAAATGGGGGCTATAAAGGCAAGAAGTGACTGGCTTACAAGCTTTCAAGAGGGAGCCTAGATCCAGAGGGCATGGAGGAAGGTAAAATCACCACTGAGTAGTGTCCAATCAGTCTGAGTGGGGTTGATGAAAGGAGATAGGGATAGGTCCCTTGTAGTACAATGGTGAATAATTGTTATCAGGACTGACTGCGAGGGTTGGAAATGTAAAGGTGGACATTTTATAGCAAAAGGAAGGAAGTGATTAACTATGCAGTCTAGGAGCCAAGGTCCCTGGAACCATTAAGTGAGAAGAGCAGAGAGCAAGACCCTACCCAGAGAGCAGTGACATGAGAGATAGAGGCAGAGACAATGACATGGAGGGATGGAGCGGCTGGGGATTCTAAACCCTGAGGAGAGGGACTGTGTGCTGATGACCCAGGGGTAAGCTTGCAGTGTATACCCTTTGGATGGCTGATGATGCATGGAGGGGATTGTAACCGTGACAACGAAACAATACACAATAGGATGAATGTAAAACTAATGTTCTCCTACGTAAACTATCACATAATTCACAATAAAACATTCTAAAAAATAACTGTTAGAGAGTTCTTTATATATTCTAGATCCTGATCCTCTGTCATATGCATGTGGAAGTTGAACAACAAATAAGGAAGACCAGAGAAGAATTAATGCATTTGAATTACGGCGTTGGCGAAGAAAACTTAAGTACAGCAGAACGCTTCTTAGCAGCGAGGATGGTAAGACTGTCTCTCCTACTTTCTGTATCTTGCTAAGAGGGACCAGTCCCTGGAGAAGGACATCATGCTTTTAACAATGGAGGTTTAACAAAAAGAGGAAGACCCCTAATAAGATGGATTGGCAGTGTGGCAGCAACAATGGACACAAACATAGCAACAATTCTAAGGATGGCACAGGACCAGGCAGTGTTTTGTTCTGTTGTGCATAGGTCACTCACTGTAAGTTGGAAACAACTTAGCACATAATAACGCAACCTGTTTTTAAGCATGTTTACATCTACATTCATGAGGAATAGTGGTGTGCAGTTTTTTGTTTTTATTTTTTTGGAACTGTCTAATTTTTGTATCAGGGCTTCAATAAAGTAAGTTTAAATGTAGTCCCTCCTCTTCTATTTTCTGGAAGAATTTATACAGAAATGGCCTTAATTCTTCTTTAAATGTTTGGCAGAATTCTCTAGGGAAACCATCTAGGCAATGGAGTTCCTTTTAGGGAATTTTTAAAATCACTACTTCAATTCCCCTGATATGTATAAAGCTATTCAAATTGTGTATTTCATAAAGAATGACTCTTGGTAAATTGGGGAGGGGGGAAGGGGGGCTTAGGAACTGGTCCATTTCAGCTAAGTGTCAAATGTATATAAGTTTATACAATGTACACTTGTTTATAGTATTCTCTTACTGAACTTTTAATTACTGCAAATTTCTATAGCAATATCCCGTTTCATTCCCATTATTGATAATTTGTGTTTCCTTTTTCTTTGTCAGTCTTGATAAAAGTTTGTCGGTTTTATTAACAATTTTAAAGAACCAGTTATTTCATTCACAGTTTCTACTGCTTTTCTGCTTTCATGTCACTGATTTCTGCTATCATTATTATTTCCCTTCTTCTGCTTTCTGTGGTATTTTTCTCTTCTTTTTCCAGAGTCTTGAAGTGGAAGTTTAGTTGATTTAAGACTTTTCTAATGTAGGAAAAGTCCTATAAATTTCTCTCTCAAGCCTTGCTTTAGTTTCTTACCATGAATTTTTACCTGTTAGATCTTCATTTACTTCAATGGATTGAGCATTTTCTTTCCCTTGAGACTTCCTCTTTGAGTCACATTTAAAGTATGTTGTTCAGCTGTCAAGTGTTTATAGAAATTTTCTTGTTATCTTTCTGTTATTAATTTCCAGTTTGATTTCCTTATGATCAGAGGATATACTCAGATATCCATAGGTAAGGAGGAAAAACCTCTCACGTAGACTATAACACACTAAATTTTCATTATCAATACTACAAGACAGAGAGCAGATAAGGTAGGGGGCATACAAAAAAAGTATTCTTAGATCAGCTTCTTTACTACCCAGCCAATTTCAGAGACTCCTAAATGTTACTAACAGGAGCTGAGACTGGGCATATAGGAAGGGTTAGTGTAGGATTGTACTGATTTCATTTATGAGTTGGCATCATTCCACAGATAGGTACTAGAGTAGAGTCTAGTATATGAAAGAATAAAATACCTTTTTATCTTACCCTCTGAGCTTTTGCGAGTTCTTCTTTTAATCTTTCATACCCCTTTTCTCTGACTTCCAAAACAGATGGGCTTCGTAAACGAGACAGACTATCAGTACTCAACCCAAAAATGTCATCACTGCCATCACAAGCCTCTGTTACAGTGGCGCCCTGTAAAAACTCCCTCTCTGCATTACAGCTGTCCTTTCTTGTAGTTAATTTGGTTATCCCAGCTGTGACTCCAGAGGTAGAGCAAGATGCTGGGTCTGTAACATGGATGCTGTAAAGGAGAGAAACATTATTTTACAAAGTTATTATTACATGTTCATATATAAAACTGACATAAACACACAGATCTAGATCTATACGATCCAATATGAGACATACTAATTAATAGTATAGGAGCTCTGGTAGCATAGTGTTACAAGTTGGGCTGCCAACCTCAAGGTCAGCAGTTCGAAACTACCAGAGGTTCTACGGGAGAAAGATGAGGCGTTCTGCTCCCGTAAAGATTAACAGCCTCAGAAACCCTGTGCAGGGTCACTATGAGTCGGAATCGACTTCATGGTACTTAACAACAACAAAATTAATAGTGTCTCTCAAACACATTTGCCATATTTCAAGTGCTCAGTAATTTCAGGTGGCTAATGACTACCATAAGGAGCTCTGGTAGCGTAGTGGTTACGAATCAGGCTGCGAACCACAAGGTCGGCAGTTCGAAACTACCAGCTGTTCTGCAGGAGAAAGATGAGGCTTTCTGCTCCCATAAAGATTTACAGCCTCAGAAACCCTGTATAAGGTCACTATGGGTCAGAACCAACTCCACAGCACATAACAACAACAACAACAACTACCATGAGTCCTGGTGTGGTGCTGTGCGTTACTGCGCCAGACTGCAAAGTCATTTGAACTGTGACGCTGGAAGTTCAAGCTCACCAGCCACTCCTCAGAAACCCTGTACAGGGTCACTATGGGTCGGAATTGACTCAACAGCACTTAACAACAACGACGACTACACTGGAGTCCTGGTGTGCCACTGTGAGTTAATGCGCTGGACTGCAAAGTCGGCAGTTCGAGCTCACCAGCTGCTCCATGAAAACTCTATACAGGGTCGCTATGGGTTAGACCCAACTCAACAACAACAACAATGGCTACCATACTAGATGGTACAGAAACAGAACATTCCATCAGCCAAGAAAGTTGTATTGAATAGTACTACTATGGCGCTGCAGGACAATGTAGTGGACCAAAAGGTCTATTTGAAATGCAAGGTTGGAGGATCAAATTCACCAGCCACTCCTTGGAAACCCTATACAATGTCACTATGAGTCGGAACCAACTCGATGACACCTAACAACAACAACTCTAGAACAGGTCAGCAAAGTACAGGCCACAAAGGACCAGATAGTAAAATAATAAAACTTAAAGTAACAGAATTAAATATGGTATTACAAAAATGTCTCCTACCTGATACTAGATATTTCTACACAACTGAAACATCTGGGGGATGAATACACAGGTTGTGTAGGAAGGTCAGAGACATCTAATGCATTAGCCTGGATACGGGCTGTATAGGCCACAAATCCCTCTCAGTATTATCACCAACCTTTCTCATGGTTAATTTAGCCCAGCTGTAACTCGAGAGGGCAGAACAAGGTATTTGGACTGTAACGTGAATTCTGTAGGGGATCCAGCCTGCCACCTGCTTCTATAAAGCCTATCAGCCTAGATGGGGAATGTAATGGCTCTGTAGAATACGCACTAGACTTTGAACCACAAGGTCGGCGGTTCAAGCCCATCAATTACTCCATGGGAGAAAGATGAGGCTTTCTGCTCCCATAAAGATTTATAGCCTCAGAAACCCTACACGGAGTCACTATGAGTTGGAACCAACTCAATGACACTTAACAGCAACAACACGAGCCTGGGTGGTGCAAATGGTTAAACACTAGACTACTACTATTCAAAAGATTGGTGGTTCAAACCCACCCAGAAGCACCTCAGAAATAAAGCCTAGTAGTGATCTGCTTCTGAAGAGTCACACCATTGAAAACCCTATGGAGTATAGAGTTCTCCTCTGCATAGTTGGGAGCACCATTAGTTGGAATCACTTCAGTGACAACTAACAACCACAAAATAACATGAGTTGTTGGTTTTCAGGCTTGCCAAAAAAATTTTAATGGTATTTTGTGCCATGTGAGATTTACATGAAATTCTAAGTCCCATGTCCATATATGAAGTTTTACTGGAAAATAAGCATGCTCATTCACTTATGCATCGTCCATGGATGCTTTCATGCTCTAGGGGCAGAGATGAGTACTTGCAACAATTGTTGCAAACGACCATAAAACCTAAAATATTTACCATCTGGTCCTTTGTGGGTAAAGTTTGCCAACTTCTGCTCTAGAACATTAGTACATTTACATGGCAAGTTTTATCCTATACAAATGTTCTAAAATAATAAAACTTAAAGTAATAGAACTGTCCATTTTTAAAATATGGTATTACGAAAAAATGTTTTGATGGTCTCCTACCTGATATTAGGTATTTCTACACAGTTTAAACGTCTGGGGGATGAATACACAGGTTGTGTAGGAAGGTCAGAGACGTCTAATGCATTAGCCTGGATAGGGGTAGAACATAAAGCTGAAGGATGTGGCCGGTAGATAACACTTGGTGAGGTAGTCTGCTCTTGAGTTCCTGATTCATAAACGCCAAGAAGGTCCGGAGATGTAGGTGAAGCAAGGTTTACTTCATGGAAGCCTTCCAAGGGGTCATTAGCCATAGCAAAAGCTTCATCATAAGTTTACCTATGTTTAAACAAAAAACAGAAAATTATCTTTAGATAGTTACTTTTTTTTGCCAGGTTACCTAAATTAAGATTTACAGATTATAAAATGTGCTTAATGTCCATTATAAATATGAACTTACAAATAAAAGATATAGGAGAAAACCCTACAATCATTTAACATTTATTAAGTGACTTTAGAGTATAACTACTAAAAAAATGAACTATCTGATTTGGAATAAACTCAAAAGTGGTATGTAAGGCTGTTAAAGTGAATACAATTAGTAAGTAAGTATGAGGAATAAGTTAAATTGTACTTAATATTTTTAACTGGCTATCATATATCCCTCCACCTATTCACTATAAGAATTAAAGGAGACAACTCATATAAAGTGCTTTGTTGTTGTTATGTGCCGTTCAGTCACTTCCAACTCATAGCAACCCTGTACAGGGCTCCGGAGGAGTGTATGGTGATGTCTGAACTGCTGACCATGTGGGTTTAACTGACCCTGCAGTCCAGCACATTAGCCTTAGGCTGCAGCATCACACCTAGCACATAGAATGGTCACAATCAACATTTACTACCATAGTTAGCTGTTTCTTCAAGCTTCAGTTTCTTCATGCTATAAAAATATTTCACATAAGTACTCCATCACAAAGTCTGTTTGAAAACTAAAGAACACCCAAATTTTTCACTTGAATAATCTTAAACCTAAAAAAGAAAATCCAAATCCTTTATTGATTTCCCATTGTGTACAGAATACAATTCAAATTTATTAGCCTGACAACCATTCCTGATGCCACGTTTTCCTTCATAGAACCCAGCTTCTTGTATTATTTGTTCAGCATACATATTGAACAAGTATGGTGAAAGAACACAACCCTGTCGCACACCTTTCTCAATTTTAAAACATTCAGTGTTCCCATGCTCTGTTCGAACAA